TTTTTTTCTTGTGTGGCTGTTTACTTTTTTAAAAAACACAAAACATTTTACTGAAATATAATATATTTCATAAAAGTACACATATAGTAAGTATAGGGCTTGCACAATTTTCACAAACTGAAAAAGACAAGAAACAAGACATCAGCACTCTGGAAACCTCCTCATTCACTCTTCCAATTACTTCTACCAGCTGCCTCTCCCCCACACATAAGTCTCCCCTTTGTGTGTGGGGTAGAGGCAGCTGTCTTGATTTCCAGCAGCATAGATAAGTTTTGCCTACTTTTTTGCTTTATGTAAATTGAGTCATATATACCCTTTTTTTTTTTGTAGCTGGCTTCTTTTCCTTCATGTTATGTATATGTGATTCATTCATAATATTGTTCTTAGTTGTAGACTGATTCATTCTCATTGCTGTGTAGTATTCCATTATTCATGGTTAGCTTTGATTATATGTTGTACATAGTATTTGAAAAATTATAAAACAAAAGTTGAGGCTCAGGATGATGGTATCATCTTCCAGAAAAGACTGTTTCTCCCTTGTACCTGGGAGTGGGAGAGTCTACTAGGAGGAGACTACTTTAAATAAAGTTTATGGCTTGTGGTTTTGTTTGACTATCCAGATAGAAGATGCAAAGCTGGGCTGTTACCACTACTTGCTTTTACTTCTAGTTTATCCTTCCTTTGAAAATATAGCCCTTTGGAGTCCCAGCTTAAAGTAGGGTATTATTAGAATCTCCATCTCTGAAGGACCCTGGGCTTTGACTGTTGTCTCCTAGTCAAAGCCTAGAAGGCCACAAAAGAGCAGCTCGGGGGGGTAGGGAGGGCCAAGCCAACAGCGCCAAAAAAAAGACCAAGTGGTCAGAGTGCTTGTACCATTCAGGCCAAGTAGGATGTGCTGTCACCTGTGGTGCCACCCTGCTGTGTGGGCAGGCATTGAATTGAGAAGGAGCAGAACAGACCCTGTTGTGGTCAGGGTGGCTACCTGGTCTGTACGTCTCCAACCAAGCCAGAGCTCACCAGCCTGTTTTTCTACTCATTCCAGCCTAATCCAATGGTTTGATACAGCACCAAGTCGGACCTGCCCACAGTGCCGAATCCAGGTGAGTGTGGTGGGATGAAAACACTTCAGCTGAAGACATCTTCTCGTTGCCAGGGAGCAGGAATGAGGAAAGAGCTATGAAACTNTTTTTAGTGTGTGTATTTACAGCTATCAGTTTCCCTTTTAGCACTGCTTTTGCTGTATTTTATAAGTTTTGGTATGTTGTGTTTTCATTTTCATTCATCTAAAGATATTTTCTAATTTCTCTTTTACCTATTGGTTGTTTAAGACTGTGTTGTTTAATTTCCTCATATTTGTGAATTTTCTATTTTTCTTCTGTTACTGATTTTTAATTCATTCCATCATGATCAGAAAAGAGAATATCCCATGTGCACTTGAGACACATGTGTACTCTGGTATTATTGGGTGGAGTATATCTCTGTTAGATCTAGTGTTGGTTTATAGTGTTGTTCAAGTCCTCTATTTCCTCATTGATCATCTGTCTGATTGTTTTATCCATTATTGAAAGTGTGGAGTATTGAGCTTCTGATCAAGATGGTGGAGTGGGTAAAAGCTGTGCTCACCTCCTCCCAGGACCACATCAAAATTAAAACTAAACTATAGAACAACCATCATTGAGAATCGCCTGAAGTCTAGCTGAACAGAAGTCCTGTAGCTAAGGATATATAGAAGCCACGTGGAGACTGGTAGGGGCGGAGATGTGGAATGAGCTGGTCCCATACCCATGTGTGGCGGTAAAAAATCGGGAGGGATATCTTGGCTGTGGAGGTCCCCCCCAGAGGAGCAAGGGGTCCCAGCTCCACACCAGGCTCCTCAGCCCAAGGTTCCAGTGCTAGGGAGAGAGGTCCCCATAAATTCTAGCTGTGAAATACAGTGGGGATTGTGACTGAGTGAGATGGAGGGCAGCCGGAGTCTCAGGCATTCCTTTTAAAGGGCCTGTGCACGGACTTTCTCGCCAACATACTCACTCACTCTGGGTTCCAGTGCTGGGGCAGTAGCTCAAAAGGCACCAGGGACATACAGGGAAGAACTGAATTGTCTGGTTTTAGAGCGAGGGCTGGAGGGGTAGCTTCCTTCAAGACGGAGGTGCTGCAAGACACCATTGTTTCTTAGTTGAGCCCTCCCGCCACCCAGCCTTCACACACAGACGGGCACTGTATCTGAGTCTCCATCAACCTGGCTAACACCGTCCACCTCACCCTGGTGATTCCTCGAGACCCTGCCCCACCAAACTCGGGGCCCACCCAAGCCGCTTTCAGTGGTTTTCCATACAAACAGCCTGTCTTGGCTCATGCTGCATACTTTCCTAAAATCTTTTAAAGGTTTACAAACCCCAAATAAGCAGAATCTGGCCTCGGCATACCTGTACATTTTGCTAAGCAGCCCCAAGCCCAGCACTGGTGGCAGCTGGCTTCAGTTCACAGCTTAGCCTCTTCCAGGCACCTCCAAGCTCAGCACAAGTGGCAACCATCTGCAGAACACTTGTAGCTCATACCAAGTGGCCCAGGGCAGGGCACAGG